GCAAGAGGGTGTCAAGGAAAGCGTCGTCGCTGCAAAAGACACTGTAGCGGAGGTGTACGGCTCGGCCAAAGCGAAAGCAGGGGCTGCGAAGTCGACGGTATCAGAGCACGCTGATTCAGTCAAGGGGGCAGCTGCTGCGGCTCAGGACAAAGCGTCACACCTGTTAAATGTTGCGAAAGAAGATGTCGCAATCGCTCAAGACATTGCATCGCGCTATTACAAGCCAGCGAAAGACAAGACCGAGGCGGTGAAAGTTACGGCATCGCACTACTATGACGTGGCCAAGGGCAAGGCTTCTGGCGCCCAATCCATGGTGACTGACGAAGCCGCGATGGTCCACGGGAAGGCATCAAGTGCTTATGGCGCTACGAAGGACACAGCCGTGGCAGTCAAGGACAAGGCTATTGGAGCGAAAGACTTGGTGAAGGACAAGGCTGAGTACCTCCAAGACAGGGTGAAGAATAATGTTCTTTAGCGAAGTCAAGCGATAAGCCACAATCCAACTTACAATCCAACTTTTAAGGACTGTGGGTTGCATGCAAGTATAATAGAGAAACTAAGTCTTAATGTAACCTCTAATATATTATATATAGGTCTCCCTCCGGCTTTCGGTAAAATATTGATCACCCAACGCATTCGTCTTGAGTGCAATCAAATTAGTCGAGTGTATCTGCGGGAATGTCGTTGAAAAGTGCGGTATAAGGAGTTGAGATACAGAGAGGATCTATGATAGACATTCGCGTTTGGTTCAGAAAATTAACACCTTTGAATTAGTGTTGCACTGAGAAAATCCCGATAATTCACACCTTCAAGCCTACAGTATCCTAAATTGATTCATCTTACAGAAATTACAGGCTTCACTGTCAGATGACGCGCACCCCACCAGGTAAATTTTGGAAAAATACTGCATTGTACTACTGTCCGTTTGGGCGAGACGAATGCAAAGAAAATTTCCAGTGAGCCGATTTAGATTCTGTTTTTTACAATCTCTTCGTTACCAACCACATATTCTGCACGCAAAATCTTGAAGGTCCAACTGAGAAACTCTGCTCTACGTTCGCAAGCAACGATTCTTGAACACAAACCTACTATTATAATAATGTAGAATATTATTATAGTTAGAATTTCGCAATAGTTTTAATGAAGGTATGTACTGTAGTAATGCTATACATTTTTTAACGATAATTTTATTTTAAGACTCAAGTATAGTATACTTCGAAGTACCTATTTTAAATTTCCGTTTCGATTAAGTATGTTCCATTAGGTGCTGAAACTTCATTTCAATCCTGATGGAGTTGAATTCGATTCCAGGCATTATAAAACCCCTCACGGACTGCACGTTAAACTCCTGAATTCAAATATACCTTTGGATCGAGGAAATACCCCCTAGGGCAAAAGTTATGGGAGTCACAAATATTGCATTCGTTCCGCCCAAACGGACAGTCTACAATGTAGTATGTAGCATTCGATTTCCAATTGAATTGCAAGACTTCAACGTGAACACAAAGCTCCAAAAAATGTTGACCAAATCGTTGCATCCAGACGCACAGAATCTCGAAAAATGGAATATTTCGATTAGCGTAAGGTTGCCTCTGGCCTCACTTTTCAAATTCTGTTACAATCTGAAGAGTAAGAGAATTCATATTTTCCGAAAATTAATTAGAAAAACTAGAAGAAAATATCTTCAGGAATAAAACTTGGTGTCTAGACTCTTTCGGCCATTCACGCATTTTGAATTACGCAAAACAAGCTACGACGTATTTTGTCCTCGCTTTGGTGGTGTATAAGCGCCAAGTCCGCTTGCTACCTTCATGGAATACCACTACATCGCATACGTCGAGAAACACCCAAAAGAGTCTTCATCTTGACAGGCTCAAATAGGCCCAACAGCTGTTGACCGGAAATGGCGACAGATTCGAAAATAACATGCGAATGCTGACGCCTATATTCCAAGCCCTAGAGCATGGCCATGTCAAGCCCACAGAAAAATCAGTGTGAACGAGCAAGTCGCAATGCACTGTACCTGTACTTTGTGGGGCATTGTACATCAAGCGCTAACCTGCGAGAACGATTCCAGCACTCACGCGAGATCATTCATTTCCGGACTTTGTCATTTGGTAAATACTTGGTTGATCAGTAAAATGATCACTTGCACGATTGTACAGTGTTCACGATATGTTCTATTATTATATAATTGGTTTTAGAAGTACCAAACAACGCCTTGGCACGAGGCCCAGATCAACGGCATCAAAGAAGGAAGGTATCCGGGGTTCGAGCCCATTATTTTCTAAAATACCAACTGTATAATTTTTCCTTATTTAAAGAATATAAATTATATCTATATATACTTTTAAATTTCGCAATATTAATTAAAAATAGATTAACACCTCATGATGTTTTTTTCAAAATACAAAAAATATTTTATAAATATTTCATTTAAATCCAATTGACAGTATTGGTACTTCGAAGTAAATACTGATATAACAACCAATTATCTATTTAATACCTCTATTAAATGAATAGACAAAGATTACCACTTTTTTTGTATTTATGTAGCTGTAGGTAGCTGATGTAACTAAAACTTAGAAGGAAAAAACGCTCTAATTTTTTCAATAACAGTTTCAGTAACCGCTTCTGATTCAGCTTCTTTACAATTTAAAGCCAGAAATGTGACATAGGATGTGTATAAAATTTGACCTAATGTTTCAATATTTGTAATTGAATCATACTTAAATTTTCTATATTTAAAAAATATGTATTCATTTTTAATATGATTTTTTAAAAATTAAAGGCAAGAAATGTTTTTAGGAGCTATTCTCGGGGGTAAAATGGATACGTATGTTTATTAGCAATATGCGTTGTAATCTCTTCCATACTTTTTTAATGGCTATTTAAGTACTATAACAGGAGATAATTTTATACAAATACCCTTTTTGTGGGTTGGGAAGGTGTACGTCTTTGTTCTTATTTTTCCAGAAATTCTGTAATATCTATATAAATATAATATAATAGAATAATCAGCAATTCATTAGGACCGAAAAAGCTATAATACCTTTAGAGCATCTCCACCCCGTAGAGCTAAAAGCTACTATTAATAGTATCTATTTTGGTAGAACTTCGTTTTTCCGGATAATTATATCTTTTTCTGAATGGTATCCGGCAAAAACCCGGAATAAAAGCTATTTGTGGTGCAAATAACTTTCCTTTGGTGAAAAAGCTATTTTTTGCCGGATAAAAACCTATTCATCCGGAAGTTCGAATAGCTTTAAAGGTAGATAGCTTTTAGCTCTAAGCTTACGCTCTACCGGTAAGAGCCCCTCCATCGCGTTATCCACTAATGCTATCGGTTGAAGTCCGATTATCTCCAGAAATATGTATTATGCAAAAGGAATAGAAAAAATATTTAAATATAACTATTATCAATCAAAAAATTCAAGAAGTGTATTTAATTTTTCTACATAATGTAATATTTATTTATAGTAAAGGTTATTAGTTTTATACTTCTTAAAATGAAAAAGTAAATACTTATTCATTTTAAGAAAAGTAAAACTAGAGTAAAAAATATAGCAGAAGTTAAAGAATTTGGAACTACTACCGGTAGACCAACACGCAATAATAATACCATATACACCTAAAGATGATATTTCTAACAAATATAAAATATGGAACGCCTATTCCTGGCTCAGTGCCGAAGAAGAATGTGAAAGCCTGCCAAGGAGGAAAAGGCGTCACGCAAAAGTGCTGACTGCTTGCGACTTCAACATGGAGTTTACGTCCGTTCTGGCCGGGTGGAAGGGAAGGTTCGGCGGGCGATGGTTGTGTTTTTTGCCGACGCCCTTGAAAAGGAGTACTCTCACTCGAGCATCAAGCTCGACATCATGACGCAGGCTTTGCATTGTCACTTAAGTCGCTCACGCTGTATCGAGATACTACCTCGAGGAGTGCATGCCTATAAAGTCAAACGCTTCGTACAAGAGAGGAGCTTGTCGTCCTCCGTCATGCTATGTTGTGCAATGTCGACGAACGGATATTCGGGGTCCTCAAGAAACGATTTCTAGTCATGAGCTCGCCCGCGGAATACAGCATCAACTTCCAAGTGGAAGTCACTGAATTGCACGCTCGCAACAAAGTGCCAATGCTGCCCAATGATCATCCCCACCATCATCCTGATTTAGAGATCTAGGGGGCTCATGTTTGACATGACCAACTGTCAATGATATGTGGAAGCAATAGCACCTAGCGATCGAGTCATGCATTCCTTAGAGTTGAAGGAAATCGGACGCATTTGATTATTTTTCATCACCACGCATGCGAGCTCCTAATACGATCAACGTCGAACACGTGATATCGAACGAGGCAACTTGACATTGATGGCTTGGAAAATGTCAAAGGGACCGATGTATCGTGGAGCCAGCTTGGGACGCTCGGATTTGTCGAGCATCTGGGCATGTTTTAAAGGCATGTTGCGAGTCGCTAGCAGCACTTGATCGCCTTCCTTGAAAGTCACGTTCGAGCGGCGTTTGTCATAATACTCCTTCTGACGTTGCTGCACCTTCGTCAATTTCTCGTTAGCCATCCGAATGACTTCCTTTCGATGTTTCGCAAAATTCTTTGGCAAGGAGCCGCTCACGGCAAGATTGCGCAACTTGCGGCCTGTGTCGACTTCGAACGGCGTCAAGCCGGTTGATGCTTGGACCAATCCATAGTGGGCATACTCGATTGTTGGCAAATGGTCGACTCATTCTTGTCCGAGATATGACACTTGACATCTGAGCGCATCTTCGAGAGTTCGTTTCTGGCGCTCAGTCGCTCCATCGGCTTGAGCTCTGCCGGCGGTGTTCATGTCTTGGCGGATACCCATAATCTCCATGAGGGCCTATAGAATCTTCTTCGTCTACTTCACTACTTCTACGCTAATATGCACTTTTGTAAAAAAATGGATGCGGGTGCGGTTGAGACATTGGGGGACTTCACTAGGCTAGAGATTCTAAGCCATATATGCCCTTGAGAAACATCCCCAGGCAAGCATTAGCTAGGGTGCGTCATGACCCAGGTACTTAGGAACTGGGTGTGGGCAAAGCATTACCCCCCCTGTCACATCGCTACATTCGTAGCGACGCAAGCACTTGATGCTTTCTCGTGGACCGTCGCGGCTACGGCGTCAGTTACCATTGTTTGGACGAGAGAAACCTTGCCCTTGGCCACGCCATAGTACAGTAGTAGTACCTCACCACTTATCATCTACCGGTACGCTGGTCCTGTGCCAGATGGAGGCTTATATCGGGTCCGACACCTGGCCTTCGGGACCTCTACGACTATTAGCTGCCTGATTGCACATGGACCCACCGGCTCCGTGGCGGCAACAAGTGGCGGATTTACATCTTATCCGTTGTGTATGATTGGCTGGTAACGTTAACACTAAGAAATGACTAAACAGTGGATTTACCCCGGGAGCCCCAGGAACGATCGAAAATTCTCAATCATCTCGCCTGTCGACTAAGTCTGTCCCTTGTGCAACATACTAACGTTACTTCATACATGAGAATATGAAGGTGTTGGAATGCAAGCACAGCGGTGGTGTACACGGGTTTGCCAGATCTCTGACAAGTACTACGTACTACGTACCACGTTGGTGGATGAACCGCCGAACATAGCCGGACCTTCGAAATTGCATAAAAAATTAAGTTGAAGAGGTATCTCTGCAACAATCAATCTTTATAGCCAATCATATTGCAAATTTCATTATTTGTAGCCAATCATACTCCTTTGCTCGATTAGTTGGCGATTTCATCAATCCCTTAAAATAGGCAAATTTGAAAAGCACAATACAAGTATTATTAATAGTACTACTTACAGTAAGTAAGTACATTTTACATTGAAAAATTATTTCGAATAGTGTATACTAACTACTTCGAGGTAGTATGGTGCATTTCAACTAAAGACTACAAGAAAATGCCTTGTCTTTCGACAGCTCTTCCAACTTTGTATTGATATTTTTTAGGAAAATAAGCCGTAATAACGATAGAACTGGTCAAGACCAACAGAAGTTACGGTTATTTAAACCAACCAGCCTTTTTGTATGGAAATATATGGAGCCAGGCACATTTTGGCCGAAAAGGAGCATCAAGTATATCTTGGTCTTTGTATACAGCACTTATCCGTATGAACGTTTCCATTGTATCCGGATTATTCAGGATGTTTAACCTATTTACCAGATAAAAAACGTAAGTAAAAATAATTTAACGTCAACATTACGGGGGTTTAACTGAAATAACCGAGGCGTTTAATAGTAAAACGTCTCCTCCAGAGGATGGCTGATCTGTAGTCTTTAGTTGAAATGCACCATACCAGTTTAATACATGTGTAAATCACTTCGTTAGGGGGGTGCCATACAGGTCAAGGTCGAGGAACAAACCGTATAGATGGGAGAACCCCAATCGATTTGGCCAGCTGAAGAACTCTCACAAGACCATCGTATTCGGTGGTGTTATTGGTCGTGGGGTCGGCAAAGAAGTGCGCTTCTTACGCGCTGGTTTGCGGGCTGCAATGGCAATGACCCCGGAGCCCCCCACACTTTGTACTACTACGTAGTACTTAGGAGTACTACTGTGTGTTTTGATTGTCATGTCGCTAGATACGCTTTGCCAGTTATTCGGGTTGTCCAACGATAAATGACCGTTAAAGCCCTCGTGCCGGTAGTCGCTACCTCATTTTCCAAAACGCAAACTCCATGGCACAGCAAGGAAGCAAAACTGACATCAAGGTAAGTCCGGTGAAATTGTTGATGAAGCATTATGGTGCACCTGTGCATATATAGACCAAGCTCGGCGAAGGGAGCAAAGTCGTGAAGGACAAGGCGACGTCGGCTAAAGACATTGCGTCACACAGTTACGAGTCTGCCCAGGAGAAGGCATCGGATGCCCAAGGCGTAATGAAGGACAAGTCTGCATCTGCCAAGGACACTGTGTCGGAGTACTACGAAACTGCCAAGAAAAACGTTGGCGATGCGAAAGACACCATCAAGGACAAGGCTAGCTCTGCCAAGAACTATGCGTCGCACACTTATG